GAGAGTAGCATCCTATGCCTACATACCTTTAGGACAAGAAGCTGTTAGAATGAGCTAATGCTTAGGCATTCCTCCCCAGAGATCCATCTTCAAGTTCATGCTTTTCCATACTAATAAAAACGAATCCTCATACATGGGGAATACATTCCAGCACAAACTAATTCCTCTTCACAGTTTGCTCATGACCTATGACTGGTATGGCACACGTGTTTCTGCCTAAGCTGCAAAGGTGAAAACAACAAGTCTGATAACAAAAATTAAAAACAAACAAACAAAACAAAACCAGGAGTATTAGTGATTGAGTCTCTTGCTGTTAAAGTGCAGTCCACTCAGTGGAGATAATTATTAGCATATAATAGAAGGTACATGTGTTAATATGTTGTTAGAAAAGTGTCGTGAGCTGCCTAGTAGAAATTAGTTATTAAAAAAAAAAAAGGTTTGGAAATACCTGGGTACTGCACACAAGTATTTAATGATCTCACAGTTAGCTATATTTTAGTAAACTCTGTTGGTGTTCAATTTTTTTTTTTCTTTTTAAATTACTGTAACTATGTTCTGCGTTTGGAGAAAAAAGTAATTTGCCAGATTTTTGAAGGCAGCTACCTGGTAATGCCTGCATGCTTAACTTCTTTGCTTTCACTGACACCATGAACTTAACAAGTCCAATGTTGTTTTAAACCCCCTTGAGCAGATTTTCATATATCAAGTATAAAACTTAAGTCATTACTAATTATTGGGTTCAACAGAGTTCCAATGTGACATGACTAGTTTCAGCATTAGCAACTTCCTAACTTACTGTTATGAATTTAAAAAAAAAAATTGGGGATGCAAGTATATTCTTTTATTAGCATGGAGAAAAGAGTGAACAGGAAAGGCAGGAAACATAGAAAACTGAATGGAAATTGTGCTAATCACTACAATGTATTTCTTCTTGAATCACAGGTCATTTGTCATTACTCACAAAGCCGTCAGTTAGTTTCTCTGCTACCCATCATCCTGTTGCCACATATTTTGGCCTCATGTAGTTAAGAATGATGCACAAATACCCTGCAAAAGCAGATTAGAAATTAATTCTGTCAGACAAATAACCGTACCCTGAAATGAGTTGTCTGGTTTTGGATCAAATCAGCTCTTTTAGACAGTATTTTAAAATCAAATATGTGCTCTTCCATACTATAAGCACTATAAAAGACAGACAGTTCTGTTCATCTGTACTCAGTAGGTTGAACTGAATGAGCAAGACTCTTTTCGTATTAGAAGTCCCATCAAGGCATTCACTCCTTTCTTGCACAGCGTGCTTCAAATAATTAAATACTCATTACTCGATTTGCTATAATGTGAGGTTTAGGTTTGGATTGCTTTTTTTGTTTGGTTGGGTTTTTTTTATTTGTTTGGTTGGCTGGTTTTTAAGTGGACTGAGCCATTTACTTGAGTTCTAAATCCAAAACTACCACAAAAAGCATCTTACCAAACTTGGCCAGTTCCATACTAGCAACACTGTCCATACATACTTGAGAGAAACATCATTTTTGTCAACATAGCAGTATCAGTTACTTGAAGGAGCCACAGTAATGAATGGTTTTGTGCCAGTCTAAGTACTGGTTTTATTTATCAGTAAGGATTAATCTTGTGTATGGTCCAGCTGACATAATGCATAACCTCACGATGCCAGAACAGCTTCAGTTGGAAATAGTTCTGTGTATCTCCTTCTGCAAGGCAGCAACAAAGCCTGATTCATTGTATTGCAAAAGCAATTCCTGAGTGTCTGATTTGAGCTGTGCTTATTGCAGTCTTTAGAGAAACTCAATTAAGTCTATTTTGGTAAAAGATTCTCAGACCTGTAGATTTGTTAGTGACACAGGAATTTAATTTCACTCTGATATGATCTAGTTTGCTTAGAACTAGCATTGCATGATCATATAATCCCTTTGTCTAATTGAGGGTACAATGTGTAAGGTATTATGTCCTGAATATCAGGACACAAGCAGATGATCTTCTGATGTTACCCATATGGCCAAATTAATTGCCAGATCATGCTGTCAGGTATTGACAGTACTGCTAATAATACATATCACACTAAAATTACTCTTAAAATTACTACTATTCACATGCAACTTTGTTTGGCTGTCTGCTGAATCTTTGCATGTAATGTTTTTGGCAGCAAATACTAAACAGAAAGACTTTATTTGCTTGAGATTAGTCTTGACCTAATGAATAAGTTTCATAAATGCTGGTACATGTCTTATTATTTCTGCTCTAAAAATGCATATCAAATTACTAGTTGAACTGTTAGCTGGGGACAGGGGGACAGGCTGCTGAAAAATAAACCATCACTTTTTTTTTTTTTAAAGAAGAACTTCTTTTTTGTCTTTCCTCCCATAGCCCTCCAGTATTTTTAGATTTTAAAAATGCAGGTAAAACTTCTCCTCCTCCCTTTAACTCCCTTTTCTCCAAAAAAAAGAAAGAAAAAAAAAAAAAGCAAAAGCAACAGTAAAAGATGTTTTCTGTACTTCATCTGCAGGGAATTTGTAGGTCAATTGAAATACATTCTTTACAGTGGCTGTCACAGCTATGGGAATTCTCTTGAAAAGCCCTATCTGTCCAAATTGGGTGAGGAGAACAAAATTCACGCCTGTGATCTGCTTAGGAACTTTTTGGGTTTTTTGGGGGATCCTGAAAAAGATTTATGAAAGCTAATCCAGATCATAACTGTACTGGCTGTATCAGATTAAGTGGGACAAGAGAGTGGATGTGTGTTCACCCTCTCAGAATTTTACCTTCCCTAAGTGTTAACTTCAATCTCTTCTTTTTTTCTTTTTTGTTTTTTTTGATAAACATTTCTTTCACCATTGACCCTCCTTAGACGCAGAGGAAAACTTCAAGATATATACACGAAATAGCAAAAGTAATTACCTTAATTTATTTTAATCCTTCTCTCTCTTCTTTTCTTTAATACAGGAGGTTGGCACTGCAGCTCTCCATCCACACCCCAGCCACCCCTCATCCACTTCTTTATCCCTACTGCATGAAATTAAATTTCCCAGGTAACTACTGGAGCATAATTTTGCAGCAACACTAAAGCCCTCAGACCTCAGCCATCCAGATATTGATCTGAGTGTGAGAGTAGGAAACAAACAGGTTAGTCTAAATATTTTCTCATTCTGAAAGGAAGACCCTTTGTGGTGTTTGACATGAACATCATTATTATTCAGCCTAACTACACTGCTGGTTCAACAGTTTACATATCCATGGGAAAGAAGGCATTTTGCTGCAACATGCTTCAGTGCATCTGCTGGCACCTAACCTACTGGCTAAAAGAAATAAAGCTACTGGATTGAACATAATATACAGTTTTCCCCTTAGGAAATACAGAGCCTATGGTTCTGCAGATTTTCCGTTTATTATTTTCTTGACATCATAAGCATCCATTTAATGTGGAGGGGACAAAACTATTTTACTAGCCTTTGATAACAGGCAGATTGCCCAGGCTGTCTTGGTTGCACAAAGGAAAACAGGAGAGTAGCTGGGAAACAAATACCTGTAGGCTGCCCAACCCAGCTAAGTTAGTAGAGTCCCATTGCTGCTGAAAATGTGCTCCAGAGCTCAGAAACATCTACTGAACCAGCACTGGACAGAGCATGAAAGTTAGCATGCATACGCTGGTCTTTGATGTTTCTCTGACCCAACTACTCTTCACAAAAACAATCTTAGATACTTCACAAAACAAGTGACCAAATGGTGACATTCATGAACAGGGTTTTGCTTCTTTTCTTTTTTTCTTTTTTTTTTTCCTTCCTTTATGGAAGACTATTTTCTTCTTTTTTTTTTTTTCACTTTTTTTCCCTCCCATTTCTGTTGCATTTAAGTGGTAGAATCTTTTCACTAGTCATATATGCTATCAAATATTGCAGAGCAAAATAAATTTTAGAAGTGCTAAATATGACACCAAAGCTAAGTATTTGATTTCATTATACTTTTTTTATATTCTATTACAAGATTAAATGTGCTACTGTGGATCTCAAGGTACCGTTTTTTGGGGGCAAACATTTAAAAAAACCCCAAACAATTATTTTCCATAGAAAGAATGTAAAGTTTACTGTTGCAATAAAAGAAAAGGGATCCTGAATTATATTCAGCACACACTTATGTAAGAGATACAAAAGCTGTGATTTCAACAATCAACACTTTACTAAAGATTGCAGGCTAACTTGGAAAGTTGGGTTTAACTTTGTAGTAAATAGCTCATTCTTAAATTTCCTAGCTTACTAGGAAAGTGCCTCTGCAGAACAGAGCAACAATACTTCCATCTGTTTGAACAAGCCATGTGGGCACTGCCTAAAGAAACAGACAAAGTGGGACTGCTCAGGCAGTGCTGGGCCATAGTGACCCCCACCATCCTTATGCAGCAGTTCTCTCCAGCCCCCATTATGAACTTCTTATTAACATCTACCATAAAGCATGACCTTGGTGTAAGTACTATAAGGTCTCACTGCTTTGTAAAGTTGTAAACTTGCTTATTTATACTGGCAGTCCCATAAAGAACATGTATTAAAAAATATAAGGAAGCTTATATGTTATATATATATTTTTACTGCAACCTTGGTTTGGGTTTTTAAGGAGAATCAGTGAAAGTGATAATCAGAGATTCAAGAGTTGACACAGGTTCTAGTGTCTTGTTAGGTGTAAAAATTAGTAAGACACAAGAAAATGTAGTTATTTTTAAAATGTCTTACATCCTACTCTTTTATGAGAACCTGGTTTCATACCACTGTTGTGACAGAAGAGAGAAATATGATGCCCCGTGTTGAAGAGAGTCACCCTTTCAGTATTCTCTGATATTGCTTCTGGCTGATTCCGAGATCATCACAATCCATTAGAAGATGACACTGAGCACACAGTGTATCAAGAGAGGCTAGAAAACAGACTTTATGCAATCAGACTTAAATCAAACTGAGACCGTAGGGTATTTGGTTTAAATTATCTTATATTTTATTTTAAAAGTCATAAAAAGCAATTATTAGGACACACAATTTAGAATTTTAAATTTTCTACTATATTTTATATTTATTAAATAATGATCTATAACAGTCATTAATAAGAGTAAGGAAGCTATTTCTTAGTCAGTATGCATGACAAAGTCCTGCAATAATTCTTTTTACGCTATATGAACAATTTTCCCCATTAAGTAGGCAGATTTTCTCTGCCTATTGTTCATCTGCTGATAAACATTTTGCAAAAGTTTGCTTTGTCTTCAGAATTTGACAGTCCAAACAGCCAGTTTAACAAACAAAAGAGGGTGGATTATGACCAAAAAAAAAAAATCTCAGCAGTGATGTTAGTATTTGGCTTTGTTTGGAGAGCTTTCTTCTGCTTCAGTTTCTTTCATCTTACATTCCATCAGGAAAGTCTCTGCAGAAGAGTTGTTTTTTTCTTCCAGCCACTGTGGAATTTTTACTTCTTGAAATACATATTGAGAAGTACATATAAAATATAAACTGCATAAAAAAAGATGTTACTCGCGTATTTTTTCTTTTTAGACACAATGTGTGACACAATATCTTTATATATTGAATATTTTTTTATCATTTTTTATCATTCATGTTCATTTAGTACTAAGAAAAAGTATCAGATTCAGCATTTATATTCCAAAGTTAAGATAAAATAGATTTCAATCATGTTTTACAGGTTATTTACTTAGAAATTTGTCTCAAGAGGTAAAAAGTGATCAATAAAAATAATGATAAAGTAAGTAAAGATATAAGATATATCTGAATGTAAATACCAAATATATAAAACATTATTCTGGAGATAACTATGTATAAATACTGGTAATTACTTTTATTGTTTTCTCATACAATAGGTCCTATGGACTGATACTTAAGAGCCTATTATTTGGTTAATTAAAGCTTCATTTTCCCAGATAAGATCATCTCATGTACTTCTTTGGTTAACAAGACATATGCTTTCTTAGAATTATCTAAAAAATAAAGAGGATCAGTAATTGTAGATGGATTAAAACCTTCATCCACAAGGCGAAATTTTTGTTGTTTGAATGTTCCAGTCATTTCCATTTTTTCCTGTAGAAGTGAGGAAGATACATTATTCAGAAGGGAAGCTTCTTCTCTTTTGCTCACATTCACATGTGCTTTTCAAAATCTTACTTGATATAAGATCAATACTGTTTACTCTCATTGTGCTGGAAATCTAGAACTTGTGTGCTGCTACAGACCAATACAAGGAGGTGTGGTGGACAGAAGCTAGAGCTCATTTCTTTCTGCATCCCTGTGCAATGTCTCATTAGTGTCACATGTGGTGCAGCCCCAGCCTGCCTGAGACAATCAATCTCCTTCACCGTGCACATTATAAAATGTGTTAAACTACACATCATAAAGAACGTGTGAGTAAAAACCATCACTATCAAGAGCTCTTTAATGATAAAACTCAGAAAATTCTCTATATAATCATTTGTTGTCACCTTAAAAGAGGGGTTGAAAGAGTCACATACTATATTAGCCGTATGTATATTCAGCAAGTCCAAAGGAAGACAGACCTTGACCATACATTTTGTGTTTTCAGGCCACTGTGTACCTTGGAAAAGTAGTGGGAGGCACCTCTAGTAAGACTCTCTTCTCTATTCTCCCTACCTCTACTCAGCCCAGCTTTATGATCTCTCTTCATCATCTTCTGGAGATCTCCTGGGAGGCCAATCAGCTGACTAGGGGCCAGAACCCAGCCCACCCAGGAGGGATTTAAACGGCTGCTGGGAGCACACCAGGGATCAGTGTTGGGCCCAGTCCTGTTTAATATCTTTACTGATGATCTGGATGAGGGGATTGAGTCCATCATCAGCAAATGTGCAGATGACACCAAGCTGGGGGGGAGTGTCGATCAGCTGGAAGGCAGGAGGGCTCTGCAGAGGGACCTGGACAGGCTGGATCCATGGGCTGATTCCAAGGGGATGAGGTTCAACCAGGCCAAGGGCCGGGTCCTGCCCTTTGGCCACAACCCCCTGCAGCCCCACGGGCTGGGGACAGAGTGGCTGGAGAGCAACCAGGCAGGAAGGGAGCTGGGAGTGGGGATGGACAGGGAGCTGAACAGGAGCCAGAGTGTGCCCAGGGGGACAAGAAGGCCAATGGATCCTGGCCTGGCTCAGGAACAGTGTGGCCAACAGGTCCAGGGAAGTGATTCTTCCCCTGTACTCAGCGCTGGTGAGGCCACCCCTGGAGTGCTGTGTCCAGTTCTGGGCCCTCAGCTCAGGAAGGACATGGAGGTCCTGGAGCAGGTCCAGAGGAGAGCAACGAGGCTGGGGAAGGGACTGGAGCACAAGTGCTGTGAGGAGAGGCTGAGGGAGCTGGGGGGGCTCAGCCTGGAGAAGAGGAGGCTCAGGGGAGACCTCCTCACTCTCTGCAACTCCCTGACAGGAGGGGGGAGCCGGGGGGGGTTGGTCTCTTTTCCCAGGCAACTCTCAGCAAGACAAGAGGGCTGGGTCTTGAGCTGTGCCAGGGGAGGTTTAGGTTGGATATTAGGAAGAATTTCTTTCCAGAGAGGGTGATCAGCCATTGGAATGGGCTGCCCAGGGAAGTGGTGGATTCTCTGTCCCTGGAGGTTTTTAAGATGAGACTGGATGTGGCATCAGTGCCATGGTCTGGGAACCACGGCAGTGTTGGATCAAGGGTTGGACTTGATGATCTCGGAGGTCCTTCCAACCCAGCTAATTCTGTGATTCTGTGATTCTCTTCTGTCTTTATATTTATATACATACATACATACATACATTATATATATAGCTTATATATATATATATATTATATATGCTAGCAATCTCTGAAAAAGAAAAATTAAGTATGATGTCCAACAAAAATGTCAAAGAGCTGCTGTATCTACTCCAGGTGTACCTCCACATTGTATGTACCTGCTCTGGTTGGTCTAAGAAACGTTCTGACATCTTCTAAAGTATGATTATATCAAGCTTAATACATTTTTAATTTCTTCCCTTGAAGTTTCACCCACTACCTTTTTTCTCAATTAATAACAGCTTTACCAACAGCAATTCATCTGTAATGTAAGCATTTAAATTTTAGTTGAAATTCCAGATACTTGATGTCAATGCTACATCCAAGATTCAGATTCCTTCTGTCCAGCATAAAGGCTTTTTTGTGCATCTATACAGGAGTAAATCTCGACTAGGTTATCATAATTTCATAAACTGACTACTGCAACATTCTCAAGTCTAATCTTGCTCGTTCATATCAGAATGCTGCTGCAAAAGATATCTTCCTGGACTTGTAGATAGAAATACGTATATTTCAATTTCAAGGTCTTTCGCAGTCTTTTCCTTTCCATTCTTTATTCTGAATCAGTATTCAGTCTCTGGTTAGCCTAGGGAACCAAGTTCCATAATTTAGCTTCTCTCTTTAAATGATGATTACTTTTTTCATCTGCTCCTCAGACTTAGGAGACTCCTTCACAAGCATCCTCAAAAACATTTTTCTGTTCATCTTTATCATGATGTTTTCAAAACACTAACCAGAACTGAAGATGCTCATCATATTTCAATTATTGTGATTATCTGTATTTTATTATTATTATCTGTATTTTATTATTATTATCTGTATTTTATTATTATTATCTGTTTTCTACGCTCCATTTTTTCCTAGCCCTATGTAATCCCCTGTATTGTATTCATATTTTTAACTCTTTGGGGGAGGGAGTATTTTTTTCCCCAAACTGGACAGTTACTAGAGGGAAGTAGTACAGAAATAGGGATGACTGATGATTACCGTGGTGATGACAATAACGTACATTTTTAATTCACCTTTTCAATTTACCTAGTATCTTTTCTTTTAACATTTGTCGTTAGCTTACACAGAAAATAGCATTTGTTTTATTGTGCATGATTGATATCTCCTGCTTTAGCTGTACTTCTTTATTCTCTCTATTCTATTGAATAAAATGGATTTTAGATTATTTTCTCCTGATGCAATTGTTCACATTTTTTAATCTGGATCTCTTTGTTTTACAATGCTCATGATTCTAATCTCCCTAAATCCTTTTGTATGATCTCCGTCCTTCCTCATTTGTACAATTTCTCCTGTTTAAACATAATCTGCAAATTTATTGACTTTTTGTGTAATCCCTTTCCCAGAACTCCATTAATGAAGACAGAGAATAGGACTGGGTCTAAAACTGGGTTAAGTGATACATGAACAAGCAGTTTCTGTTATTCACTTAGCCATTTCTGCATTTAAATGATGTAGATGTTTGTATGTACAATGCAATAATGCAGCTTACCTGGACTCTTAAGAAAAGGGGACAAGCATAACTCGGTAGATAAGTCACTACTTGCTTATACGTTTGCTCCAGGTCTAATGATGTATTCTGCTTTAAAATAACAGAGGCCATTCCTGCTTTTCCTTCATGATCTGGGGAAAAAGAAGTGAGATGAGAATTTTGAGAAATGAACGAAGTTGACATTTTAGGGATGAACCTTACAAAAAAATACTGTAGCGCACTAGCAAACTGGCAGTCACGTTTCACCTTCTGAGTTTCAATAAAGATGCAAGATTGCATTCATATTTTATGTAGTATTACACATATTTGGAGATCATTCAGGTGATCAATTAAGCAATAATGCTGTAAATGAGTGTGGTGGGTAAGAGCAAATGGAGTCCCATGCTTGATATTAATCAATAAAGGGGGATAAACGTCAACACCATTCCTCTCTCAGAAACAAGAGTGATGAGCCTCTTTCCTGGATTAACCAATTATGCTTCAGTTTTAGTCTCTCTCTCTCTTGCCACTATCTTTTCATAAAACTGTAGATCTGCAGATTGTTAACAGAGAGAGAGAGATTAAAAGTTCTTAATTGTTTGTCTGGAAAGAGAGAGCACTTTGTGTCTTTCGGAAAGAAAAAAAATCAATAAAATATAAAAGCAATCAACTTTAGCAGTCAAAACTAACTGCACACTTTAACTATCAGCTAGCAGTAACAGCAGAGATGTTCTGCCTTATCTTTGTTTTGGTTTGGTTGGTTGGTTGCTAATACTACAAAATCTGTAATGAAACTTGGTTTGTTTATCTTTTAAGTGCAATTATCAAGACACTCACATAAACTGTGTAGGTAAACAGATAAATATTGTACAGGAAATGAGCAGCTCTCATATTTTGGAGTCTGGTTTTCAGACAGCCTTCTTTACTACAATCTTTCTTGTTGTATGGCTTTAAAATACAAGTAAATTACACCTTCTTCACATTTTGAACTCCTTGTGTTTACCCATGCCAACAACCAAACATCCAGCCAGCTTCTCACTCCCTTCTCCCATGGGATGGGAAGGCAGCAGAAGGGAAAGCAAGACGTGGCTATCAAGATAATGGCAGTTTAATAGGGAAAGCAAGAGTTACAGGCACAAGCAAAGCAAAACCAGGACATCATTCAACGTTTCTCATCATCAGGCAGATGTCCTGCTACTTCCTATAGGGCAGGGCCTCACTCAGGGCATACAGTGGCTGTTTGGGAAGACAAATGCCACAGCCACAAATATCCACTTCCTTTCCTCCAGTTTTTATAACTAAGCACGGCATTGTATGATATGGAATATCCTTTTGGTTAGTTTCAGCCCACTCTCCCATTTACATCTGCTCCCAAAAGTCCTTGCCAATCCCTAGTATACTTGCTGCAGGCAGAAAGCCTGGTACAATGCAAGTTTTGGTCAGTGGTAGCCAGGCACTGGTGAGTTATCAACACTGTTTTAGCCACCAGTGCAAAGCACAGCACCATACAGACTCCTATACAGAAACTTATTTTTATGCCAACAAAAACCTAGTATTCATTTTTTAAAAAGATTTAACATGAATAAGAATCGAGCCCATAAGATGTCATGAAAAATAACAAAACAAAACAATCATTATTAAAAATAAATTAATGGGTTTTTTTCTTAATAATTTATTTACTTTACTCTTTGTATTCTCTTTCACTTTGTCCTTGGTTTTGTAATATTAATTGTTTACAGTTATTTTATGAGGCTAAGTGAAAGTTGAAATAAGACAGAATAATGTCTTCATACATTTTCCTTTAGAGTTACTTTATTCTTACCTTGTTGACATTTTATTTGGACACATGGATGTCTGGATTTTCCACAGATGTGAATTTAATAAATCTTAAATTTAGGTTATGTAGCTCTCACAAATTCATGCATGATAGCTTTTCAAAAATACACATAACTGCATACAAATAAAAATGCATGATTCACTGGCTCATTCACAATCTGGTGGTATTTCATTACCTGCATTTACACTTTAACTAGGTATTAAACAGATGACTCAACCAAAAGTGATTCATGGGTTTAAAATATGAAATCAAAATATGAAATCATAACTCCAACTAACCTAGGAGAAGAAACACATACAACTAAAGCTTTTACCTGGCACAGGCACACCATACACATTTGCTTCTTGTATGAAGTCCAGCATCACAAGGACATCAGAAACTTCTGTAGTTGCAACGTTCTCCCCTTTCCACCTAAAATGTGAAAAAAATAATCCCGTGGAAACATATGGACACCTCCTCTTTAAAAAGCATTAACTTTAGTAGAAGCTCCATTCATTTCAGACTAACACCACCTTAGATTTTTCACACTTGTCACATTGTTGTATTGATCTGATCACCAGATCATGTTGCAATTCAAATGTTACTGGGTATTAGAACCACTATACCAGACATCGAAAGTTTAAAACAACTGTTTCCAAAATTTTTACATGTATTTAAATGTATCATCTCTACTATTTGATACGTTTTTCTCCACATCAGTATCCAACTTGCTTGGTCACAGCAAAACCATCACTAGTTATATGCTTATGGAAAGGAGTGTCCAAAGAACTGGAAGTCCTACAAAACCTTCTGAAAATGAGCTATTCAAATACAGAGGAACACTTGTGACCAAATTAAGCCGCTATCATCCACTTCAGGATCATTATAAACTACATCACAATATAATAAACTGAACACTTGTGGTCAAAAACAAATATAAAAGTATTACTCTATTCTGTATATTTTTAATGAAATGTGAAAAGAAACAATAATTATACCTGAAGGTATCTCCAATCCTGTCCCAAAAATATAGAAAATTGTCATGATCTTGAACCATTAGGTCTCCAGTATTAAAATAAAGATCTCCCTTCTTAAATACATCACAGAGTAATTTCTTTTCTGTGTGTCTCTTATTGCCAGCGTAACCAAAGAAGGGGTTCTTCGCATTGACTTTGGAAATGAGAAGACCAGCCTCACCTATACAGAGAAGTTAAAAGAATACAAACCTAAGGTATCACTGGAAATTTCCTGTATTTAACATTAATATTACTTACAGTATTGTTCACTGAAATTCTGAGTCATTTGTACTTCTTCCTAGCGACTCATCAGTTTTCTCCCAGAACTGTCACCTATCAATTGTAAGCTCACTAATAGGTTTATTGTCCTCCCAAAGTGCACAATTCAAGTTGATATTATGTCTCACTCCTCACATCTTACTGAGTTTCCAAAGATGAGTCTCAGCTTCATCAGCTTCCTACTGAAAAACTAGTGTTAATAAAAAGTAGGTGCTCAACCCAGACATTAAGTCCCTATTTAGTCTCCTTTCAGAAGTTCTGAGAACACTTCTTTAAAATATTCATTAAAGTGATAAAGCATCATCATTTTACTTTTTGGAGTAAAATATGAAAGTTTTAATACAAATTTTTTTTCCTAAAAAAATAAAGAGAGACAGGGAAAGGAATATCCTATTAGGCATGTAGTGTATCAAGGTACTAGTTTGCTGAAAGTGGAATAATTGTAGGAAATAACCTTTTGGGAGCAAGTTGTGAAGAGTAAAGCTTGAGAGTTACATTACTTTGTATCAGAGACAAAAAATGAAAATATAAAAAAAAAATGCTTCTGGAAATATGCATAACTTTTAAGACTTCTTCCTCATAAAATACCTGTGCCTGTTTTCCAAAAATTGGTAGTGGTTAAAGCAGAAGTATTTAGTTCACTGGCAGTGTCACTGCAGCCGTGGTGCTCTGAAGACACAGGGCATGGGTGAGACAAAGACTATAGACAGAGATAATGCTTTTTATTAGTCTGAGTGGTATGTGTTCCCTTAACAGCTCAGTCTGACATCCCTAGAGAATAAATTCCTATAAAATTTCATGTTTCAGGGACTTATTTTCTTCTCCTTTGAAAAATCTGCTTCAACTCCCTGTTAAAACTGTCTGCCTGACCTTTAATATGACTTCTTCTTGCTTCAGTTTCAGCTATTACCTTCCTATAGTTCAAGAGATGCTTCAGTATCTAATAAACACTTTGGAAAATGGTATAACCATGACGTATCATATATTTGATAAGCGTTTTGAAGACATCTATAATCAAATAATTTTGTTGTTATTTTGCCTTTTTTTTTTTTTTTAATTTTTAAGCTGAATCACATCACTTAGTCAGAAACAATCTCTCATCGAAAACATTTGCTCTAATCCACCAGTGTTTCCTGTAGATCTCTTTGGCAACCATCTCCCTGTGCTAAACTCCTTTTAAAAACACAGATATCACTATCTACGTATTCAAAGATAATAATATCATACCATCACTTTTGAACATCACTGTTCTCTGAATGTATCCAAAGACCTCCTGGGTTCTTCTGGTATCAGCACTGGTATGTTTAATGATGTTTTGTCTTAGATCAAAAATCATATTGCTTTTATTTTCAGAGCAAAGAGTAATAGTTGTTGTTGGCATATTGCATTAACATGATAGCAAGACTCCTTTAAAAATTCTCTGGAGTGCTTCTATTAAAATCAATAGGCCATAATATCCTGTTAATATAAACACTTACCTTTCTTAACTTTTTCACACCAACCATGCTTATTTCTAATTGGTTCATCTTTTTGGAAATCATACTTGATTAAATCAAATGGGAAAAAAAGCTAAAAAAGGGAAAAAGTCATCGGTTATTTATCTACACAGTGACATCTGGTGGCAGCAAATATAAGCTGGGAAACCTGTACTCCAGTCTTCCTCATCTAAAAGGAGAACGCAGTTTCATTTAAAACTAAAAATACTCTGTATGTAAACTTACGCCATTTCCTGGAGTTAAGCAAAATCAAAAACATTTTTATAAATGAAGACAAGAACTGTCCTTTTGTCAATTTTCTTACAAGTAAGTTATGGGATCCACATTATCAGTGGAAAAGCCTACACTAGTCAGGATAATAGACGCGTATCTGGTACTTAAGTGACTTTTAGTGGTGGTGACTGATATGTTTTTGGGATCCTCTGGCACTGAAAACAGCTGGCAAAGCAAAGGCCTAAATCTCCTCACAAAGGGAAACCTGCTTCCCACTGGGCTTTACCCTTGCTTAGCTAGCCTCAGTTCTTCCCTCTTGCTTTCTCAGGCAGGTGTATAGTGGTGGAAGGTGAACACCAGCAGAAGGATTTATACTCCTGTGGCTCCAAGGAAGCTGAAGGAGAGGACAAGATACTCTAATCAAAACCAGAAATCGCAATTGGGGTTTTTTTTCCTCAAATATACGGCATTTGACTCTTATTTTGCTTCATTTTTTCTACTGTGATAAAAATACAAGCTGGATCTTTAAGAGACACTGACTGATACCATATGCTTGATACTATTTGGACCACTGTGTTTGCAGTTATTATTCTAAGGAAATAGTTTGCCCAGTTTGGGATTCTGTTTTCCTTTTTCATAAAGGAATGTATCAGCAACATTTAACACCTAGTCAAACCAAAGGTATGTAATTATCTTCTCCTGGAGAAATCTTGGTCACCAGGGAAACAATTTTATAAAACATATGAATATACACCTGCACTCTTCACAATAAAGAAATGCAGTATAATTTAAGGACAGTTTTATGAAAGTGAATGAAGTAAAGGGTAGGATGCTAAAACATAAATATCTTTGCTTTTCTGCAACTAATTCGGAAGAAGAGTTGCATATTTGCTTTACCCTAATTTGAAATGTTGTTGTAACTATATCAGATACTTTTGTTTTCAAGAAAGTCTGAATAAATAGCAACTTGAATCAAACATTAATCCCACAAATTCAGTCTCATCTGGAAAAAATTGTTTCTCTGAGTCTTTTCAATGTGTTTTCCTTCCAGTCTAAGCCTGAATCAAAAAGATATTTTTAACAGTTGATCAAAGGAAAAAGGTCATAGCTTGCAAAATAAAGTAATGATTCAAGAATGGGACACAATTTCCATGAAGTGAATGGTAATTTTTTTAATTAACCTCAGACTATAGGCATTTACCAAAGCCAAGAATCTGAGAACCAGAAAGTTTGCCTCGATTAGAAAATAGTTGTGTTATCCTCGAGGATCAGAATAAGAGTAATTTTTCTCTTATGATCTTTTCTTATGGATGCCTACATTTAAATGCTGCTCTTTTTTGCTTTCCTTTTTTTTTACATTGACATTACTTTAATACATTTCATATGACAGGCCAAATGCAATGAATAATATAAATAATAAAAGTGAAATTGTATAAAATGAAGTGTTATTTTGTTTTTGTGTTTTATCAGAATAGCTTAAGATAATGCATCATACAGAATAGTACGTTGACAAGATACAGCAATTGAGCTCTGAAGGAATAAAGAATTATTTTAAGTTGCTATAAACACTTAGAAACTGTAATTTATTATCTAAGATCATCTAAAAACTGTTAAGACTTTTACTATATATGACTATACTGTGTTGATGTATACAATTTTCAGTGCCTACAACTTTAGAGTATTAACTAGGCCTATTCCAGTTAGGTGTTCAAAATAATACTTGTGCAAATACATAATTAAAAGAAAATACCATGTATTGTATTAGATATGCATAATGAGTTCATATAAACTCTGTGCAAACAACTGTGTCTGTGCAAAGGTCTTTTCCAAGCTAAATCATTCTATGATTCTAAGCTTGCTTTTCATATTAAATATCAGAAAATGAAAGCTCCACTGTAAAGTATTTAGTCTGGGCACAGACTTACATTTGGTTCACCTCATTATTTAAAATTTAATAGGGAAGAAGACCTGAGCTGTTGAAGCATTACCATATTATTTTCACAGACTACTGCATGCAATATTCATCATTTTAATCTCCATTTTACTGCCTGAAGCACCACATAAATGTAGCAAACAAAAAGCATAATTTAGCTAGCGGAAATTTAAAATGAGTTAATCTGCAACATTATTGTCTATTACTGTGCTGCCTGGATGTAACCTAATAACAGCTTTCTCCCCCTCCTTTTTTTTTTTTTTAATTGACTGGAAATATGTGAGTTTAAATAATGATTTGAAAATAATTTTGAAATTCCTAAAGCTTCCATTTACAGTGAATGCTCACAGAGCCTTTTTCAGAAAATAAAGATCACAAGCTACTGCTGTTTATTACTTACTTGTTTTAGAGATTAAATATTGTTGAATTCTCTGGAAGAATATCTGTTTATAAAACAAAGCATTACGTGTACTAGATTTAGTTTCAAGCATCTTTAAAAACTGAAATTTAAGAAAAAAAATTCCGGAGCATAATGTCTCAGAGATGTTTTTTAAAATATACTTGTAATGCCTTATGTATGCTGTAAAGAGTGGATCCATATGTCCCCCACATAGTTTTGTTAGCCAATGTAAACAAAAGCAAGGAAAAAACCCTTTTAAGTTATGTATTGTAATACACTTGTAGTACCTTAGACTATTTTAGCTCAGAACTAGTCAAAAGAGCAGAAACATTAATTTTCATTGGCCAAAGCACTTAGGAGCTGCCAGTGCTTAGATTCACACCTGCCAATATTCTTGCTGTGAATCCAGTTTTCCAGGGTCTTAAAATTTTTTTAAAGCTAACTTTGTTTACATTTAAACTAAACAGTAAACATTTAAACAAAAAAGTATCTCTTCTGCCACTTCTATGACTGCATGAAGAAATTGCATGATACTAGTTCTGCACTGCTGTGGGAAAGACATTTTATATGCTGAAGTTATTTAAAATTTGTTATAAGATTTAAATGTTTCTCAGCTCAAAGCTGATTTTGATCTATAGAGTTTTGAATAAGAGATTTAGGTTGCTGTGATAGTTTGAATATGCTTAAGTTAATGAAAAATTACATTTACAAATACAGTTTATTACTACTTTTTTTTTTACATGCTGATATTCAGGTGTACTTGGCGTGGTTTATTTTTAGCCCTTCTTGTAAGCTTCCTCAGATCTCATTAATCCCAAGCTCCCTTGTTGTCTGCCATCACTCAGAATTTATTTTAGTATAAGAAAGAGATTTATATATACATGTGATGGACATGACTGAGGGTCTTAGATATTTTTTCCATACCACATTTTTAAAAGTACACATATAAGGTATGTCATACATAACAAAATTGATTAATATTAACTAAATATGTCAGATGTTAAGATTAAACAGTAGTTTATTACATTATGATGTTAATCTATGCACTATCTTCTTTGCAAAACATTTTAAGTTTTACAAGATAAAAAGCTACTCAGAGGCTTCTACTTTTCTTTTTGCTGACTCTATATAAACATTGATTTATTCATATACCAAGGGAAGCTTTCAAGCACATGAACCAATCCCTCTTATATAAAGAATATAGTGTGAAAATAAACAAGTGTAAACAAGAGCACTGCTTCTAGTATAAACACAGTGACTTATTGGATGTCTGGCAACTGCTATAGCATTCATCTCTCTTCTTATTAACTTATGTCTCTCAATTTTTTTACGAAAATAAAAGTGTTCTGTAGAACCTTAATTTTATCACATTTACTTGTCCCCAACCTTTGGCAGTATAAGAAGGAGAACAGCTACACTTCAGAATGCATTGTTTAATAATCTGCAACACATAAAATGTATTTAACAAAAAACACAAATGCCTTGAATAGGTAAAAACTAACTTACCTGTAGCATCAAAATACATATTTAGTTTGTGTCACGTGAAAAACCCACATACTACTTGATTAAAAATACAGATAATTAAATAAATATATAGGTAGTTTCAAGTCTAATCCTTTATCTGCTGTAACCTTTACATGGTATTTCCAAAAGGGTAATGACTTATGACAAAACTCTGCCAAAAGTTCTGCAATGCCAAAAACAAGTTTACTCAGGTTTGGAACATAACAAATTTCATAATAATATAAGACATGTGATTTAGAAAACTCTGAAACAAAAATTAACATCAACTCTAAGGTTCCTGGCTCACCTACTAGTCCCTAAATTCCAGACTCCTGATTTCCTGTAGTGGATCTGTACCCTGCTAGAGATACCCATCAGCATCAGAGGGCCACCATGCATGCTACAGAGCATGTGGGGCAGAGAGTCAGTGGAGTCATCTGCTTAAATTCCTGAGCTCTCAATGGTTTCTGAAAAATCCACTAGCTCCTGTGGTGCTTTTCTGAGTGTTTCCATGTTCCTCCCTGCAGTCTGAGTTCCCAGACCAGAAGTGAAGAATTCCTCGTGAAGCAGTCTGTGGTGATTGTCGTGTGGTGATGCTGTAGTGAAGTTGTGGACCCTGAAACACAGGCTGCCTAGGAACCTATCTGCACATCTCGAGAAGATACCTCTGATGTATTTACAAACAATGCTTTTACAATATTCTCTGAAAATAATGTTGTCAGGACATTTTGCTATCAGTTCTCCTCAGGAGCACAAACGTCACTTAAGTCAGCAGGACTTGTATATACGGATAGGTATCTCAGGCAATTTAAAATTCTAGGCAATGCATGTAGTACTATCCATTTCAAGAAGAGTAAAAACTGGCATAAACAACAACAAAATGTAGTCTCCTTGCAAAAAGCCTTGCTAAATATTCTTTCATATTATTAGCTAAAGCTTGGGACACACATTACTTAGGGACTTCTCAAACCATTTAAAAGATTGCACTAATAGGACCAAAAAAAAAAAAAAATCTATGTGTGAACTTCAAGTTGAAATAATTTCTGCATTTATTCAGAGGGATGAAGGAAAAGTCACCATGTGTAGTATAAATAATAACATAATCCTTCTCTCCAAGACATATGACTGCTGTTTTCAAGGCTAATGAAATACAGAAGGGCTTTTTTTTTCTAGTTTTAGTACCCTAGAACACACCAAACACATTTAGCAGATGGTAAATGAAGGGGCACAGCATTTTAAAATTTATAATCCTGGCAACTATATCACAATTACTCAATAATATATGTATTGTATTATCTTTGACATTTCTGTATAATGATACAGCATAGATGTAGTTTGAGTTACTTGTTTTTAATGACACCTAGGTATAAAATATCTATTAAAGTTATGTCTATATGCTACTGTATTTTAATTACTATTATTTTCCAATTATGACAAATATTTACATAGCAATATGCAACATAAATATTCTATCTGAAAACATCTTTAAATATAATCTGTAGAAAAACAAGTCAGAATAGGACATTTGTACGCTTATTTTACATGTGATGAGTTCTTAGGTACTGAAACAAATTCAACTTTCTCTTTTGTCCTCTAATGTGGTAGAGATTTGAAATTGTACTTGGAACCTACTCAGAACTGTCAGAAGAGACCAAGGCCTTTTTGACCCTGGTGAACTCTAAGAAAAGATGTTACTGCTGAAAATATAACTGGGGTAGGCACCCAGATATTATGGAGAGTCGACTAAACTTGCAATGACTGTCTTAAAAAATTTACCTCGGATTTATGACTGTAGTCCCATGTCCCAGCATCAAACTGAGAAATGCAATTTTTCAGCACTACTTTTAACCAAGTAAAATGTAAATAAAGAGTCACCTTATAAAAGAAATTGGTGCGTCCAACAGATCCAATTTTTCCGGTGTGGTTCATGAAACAAATGTTTCCTTCAGTAGCACCATAAAACTCACAGATCTTAACAGCACCAAATCTGTCTAAAAATTCCCTCCATACATCATTTCTTACTCCATTTCCAACTGCTAGTCGGACTTTGTGATTTTTTTCTCCTTCCTTCTGTAAAAAAAAAAAAAGAAAAAGAAATAAAATTAAAATATAGTATACTGATAACTGCATTTAATTGTTGCATGTGTTGTGGGGAAAGTGTACCTTCTTTAAAATACATCAAGTATAAACAACAAAAAGAAAAGAAAACAACAACCAAGAAGTTAAATAAAGCTGGCATGGCTGGCATACAGCTACAACATAGCAAGCTGCAATCAAAAACCTATTATCTCGTTGAGCAAACAAATTATTTCCTGAATAATGGCTACAATGATTTATATAAATGCTTCCACATTTTCAAAAATTGTCTTGTCTCAGTCTATTTCTACCCAGAGGAATTAGAAAACTGGGAAGAACAGAGAAAGGCAGGAATTATTTCTGTCGTGGGATTAAAGTCAGAAGAGATGAATAGTTACTTTCTTCTGTCTTCAGACTGATTATGAGAAACAATCAGATTTCACACACTTGTTCCTTCCCACACATTGTGTATGAGTCATCTTCTGTATTTTTTTCAATATTAAGACTTGCAAAATTTTGTTCTGTGTTACTGGGAATACATTATTTCCTAGTGATCTTGAGACTTTTTGTCAGCTCCCATGTTTATCACAACAAACATAACAGAATGCATCCAGTTCAGTAGAATGCTCTAATTTTATTAATACATTTCCAAACATTCAGATGGAATGGACCACCTTTAAAATACAATCAGATTTAAGATGAAGTACCAGAAGGCAAAACATCTAAACTATTGCTTTGGTTTGTTTGGGGGTTTTTTATTTACACCTATTTTAAAATAAGACTCCCTTTGTAATTATTGCAAGTGGCAATACAGAATGCTCTAGAAGTGAGATGGCACAAAATAAATATAGGTACAGTTTGTTACCACACAGCTTTAGAACTGCATAGCACTCTGGTACTGCATCACTGTCTGTATATAGCTCTATCTATGTACACTTATATATATCTATCTATGTACACTTATGTATATATGTATGCAAACACTCCTCTGTATACAAAGGCACACATATGCACGTATTCACATTCTTTACACATATATGTTTCTATAGATATATACATGTTCACATATATATATCACAGAAAAGAGTTGCTATTTTCTATTCTTCTATTTCTAGTTTCCCTCCCCTCCCCGACTCTAGTCTAATATGAATTAGTTATGTCTCTATAGTAAAAATCCATTTTAGCATCTTTAATCTCACACAGAAGCACAGCTAATTATTTTTGTGAAGAGATCTGGTCAGCTGAGTGAAACAGGAATCTTTTAAGTATTTTGGCTGTTAAAAGCAGTAATGCTTCTGAGTACACAGACAATCCTCAGAGGATTATGTCTTGGACAAATAAAATTTTTCAAGAGAATGTATATTTTGACTTCTATAACAAAAACTAGAAGCACAAAGACCAACAGAAAAAATCACAAAGACCAACTAAGTTTTTTTCTTTCCTCTTCAAAACCAGTAACTCACAGAAAGAGAAACAATTTTTTTGTTGAACTACAGAATCTTCTTTCTGCAAATTAAGTCCTCTTGCTGGAATTCAGCAAAGAATGCACCTATTTCACTAGGTGCAGATAGCCGTTGGCACATTACAATCTGAGACACTATCCTGCACTTTTACCTCAAAACTACATCGCTCACCAGCCTCCATCAGTCACTAACCATTCTGTTTTTACAATAACACATTTCTTCCTTTTTCCCTTCCCCTCTTCTGTCTTATTTTAGATGTGAAACTAATTTATAAACACAGAAGCACAGACTTCACTGACTTCCTGCTAAATCGTTATTAACAAGTGCTGATTACCTAGCAAAATGAATCTGACATGGACATAGCCTGGAACAAAGTGGTTTGTTTGTTTGTTTGTTTTTTATCTTCAGATACGATATCACAGTGCAACAGTGTAGGTTTTCATTTGCTTGAAAACGTCTGTTACATTACACATTCAAAGTCATTATACTGTCGTTGAACAACAAAGGTATTCCTATTTTTTAAGAGAAAGTATGTCAGTGTTACTTTGAACTTAATGTGGAAAGCTTTTGACTCTTTTTTTCCCCAAAAAAATTGTCCATCATTTTTAGGGTATTCTGTCAGCTGAACTTAAAACTTTTGAATTTTCCTTACAGTTTCAATGCTAAACTGAAATGAACATGACTGTAGCTGAACTGCAGTTATCCCTTGCTAATGCCACTATATTATTCAAATATACTGATTCTGCTGAAATATAAAAAATAGCTCAAAAGATACTTTCAAGGAAATCCTTTGTTCCACAATGAACAGAAGAGACAAACATGTGCTTATACACACACACAGTAATTGAGACTTTCGCCAGGCTAGGAACATTCAAAACCTCTAGAGACGAAGCTAATAAGAAGGTGATTTTTCTTCTATTATTTTAAGAAAAATAAAAGACAGCTGTTTGCTGGAAAACAAACTAGGATGAACTAGAAATTTGTTTTTCTCCCCAAAAGAACAAATACCTCATTATTTATAAGTGCAGTAATTTCAGTTCTTCATGTTGCCTTGTCTGGTTTATATTAATACAGTACAAAGTAGTTTCTGTAGTGGAAAACATGCAGAGTAGACCTGACAGGTCAGCATCCTGCTTTGCTTGCAGTGTTAACACCTATCAACAACATCAACAACACAACGTATGACCACTGCCTCACTTTAGACAGGGATGCTCATTCCTCTTGCAAAAATACAAAGAAGGTATATGATGTCACCAAGAACTTGATCACAGAAGGCAAATTTTCCTAAAAGGGAGGGCAGTAATTTCCTTTTTCACAGCTACTGTAAGTTTTCTGTTAGAATGCATTGCTGCAACTGCCGAAGTTGTGACTTAGTCAGCTTCACACAGTGGTACCTATCTGTTGATATAAGACTCCCTGAGGAGTACTTCAGGGATTTCTGGAGAAGACATTAAAACTGTCACTCATTTAGCAGTCTTTCAACTGAGAGAGTGGAAATTATATGTAATTTAATCTCCGAGCAGGTTTAATAAGTATGAAGAAAATTGTTACGATGAGGGAAACTTTAAGCAGTGAGTTTCACTTACATTAGTTTTACATGTAACTAAATCAGTACAGCTATATTTTACCTATTTTTATCTAAAATTTTTCACAACTAATATATGACTTTAATTCATATTAGCTTTACACATAACTAACTTTCAATGGAAAGTGAACTGCATCTTCACATGTATTATTGTCCAGATTACTGCCAGAGTCCAGATCTAGGGCAGGCATGCTGGTATCCATGGGCACTGTGGCTGAGTATTTTAGGCAGTAAATAAAATGCTACGGGGAAGGGAAGGGAAGGAAAAGGGATGACAGTTCCAACAAACTGTAGAAACACGGTTGAGTGATGCAGGCTTAGGCTGTCCTAATGGAAAAAGAAATAAAATAACTATGCAGGCACTTACACTTTAAACTGACTAGACCAAATAGTCGTGCTTTGAAGTTCTGCCATGTTCAGATGGCATTTCATCACCCAGCTTCTTTTTGGTACAATTGATAGAATTAGAGGAGTAGGAGGAATTCCAAGGGGTCACCTAGTACACGTCTCCTGGGAGATAAGCTTTGCTATCCCTGTGCCATTCTGGACACATGAAGGAGCTGTGGCATGTCAGCCAGATACTCAGCAACAGCTGGTCTGCAGCAATTGTCTGCATGCATATTCTTAGCCTGCTGCAAAAGCACAGTACCAAGTTAACATTTCCTACACTAAAAGCTGTGTTTCCTCACAATACCTCATCTACAAAGGACTCAGTGCCTTGCCCTGGTAAGCTGTCACCAATAAGTTAAACAGTGTGTGTCCTGTGATAATTCGACCATGATTTGTGTTTCTGAATGCAATTAATAGCTCTCTACAGATAACTAGGACAATGGATTTTAGAATAACAGAACATGGTAACATCTTTCCAAGGTTTTTTAAAATGTCCATTTATTTATTTTCCTGCACTATGATTTTGTTTTCTTACAGGGTGATTCTGAAATAAAATAGGGGTTCAGTCTACATTCACTTATTTCTAACAGTAAAGGTGAAACATTGTTTCAATGCCTTTTTTGCATTGAAATCAATCCATCAATAAGCAAGAACTGTTCCTACAGTACACCTGGATTTCTCTTCCATTCATTCTGCTAAGTTCTTTGAACTATGTGCCAAACATCTGCATACATCATAAATCATTTCTGACACCGTATGTCTCCATTCTGTGTGCTTGTTTCTTTTGTATATTAATTAATTGACAAGTCAGGATCTGCCTTATCACATTAAATACCACATACTTGGAATTTTTCATCTGCCAGTCTTTCCTCCATAAGTGTTCTTTGTAAACTATTTGGACTATCTATGCGATTAAGTTGTTGATAAAAGCCTTTTAGAGTGCTATCAACAGTGTACTACTGGTCCAGGAAGGATTCATGACTGCAGCTGTATAAAAATGTGCTTAGCAGCTGCTTTAGAATAATACAAGAAGATGTGTTCCTTGTCCTACTTTTACTGTTTCTGCCAAAGGAAAAGCCAAATGGAGAGAAGCAAAGACAATTCAAGAAAAGGAGGCATGAAATGTCTGTACCATGGCCTTGATGAAACTGAAAGCAATCTCAGGGCCTGAAAAATACAAACAGGTGTTAAATATAAAATATAAGACTGATGACACAGGATTTGCATTCATGTATTTACAAAAAATGGATGTAACAACATGTTCACCAGTCCTCTGTTGACACACTAGCCCTGAAAAAGAAGCATTAGGTAGTTAATTAGACTATATGGGAGATATCCCACTGTTACAGGTGTAATAAATTCTTCAAGATGCATCTCTACCTTCACTTTTCAGTAATGCCTAATTATAAACTGCAACTAGATTTTTTGAGCAAAACATATACCCAAACTTAAAAATACAAATAACAGAAAACAGGAAGTGTAGAGAAGAGATGCACCATAAGAAAGGAACAGGAATTGTAGGAACAGGACACATCCTTCTAAATCTGAAAGTGGTT